CCTCTAGACTTACGAAGATGTCACCTTACTGTTTCTACACTAAGCCCAACACCTCTTTCTTTCATTTTTTCTTATATTTAAATGGCTGTTATATTATATTCTTTCTCTGCCATCTTTACAATCTTGTCATCTTATTTTGTGAATATTACACAAGGCTACCCTGGTCTTTCTGAAATACTTAGGTCCCAATTTTCATGATATCTTTTAATCTAATAAATAGCTGTAGACTTACTACAATATACCTGTTTAGCAATAAATCCAAACTAAACTTTGGACCAGCTAGGTGCTCACGTAAAAAGATAATTTTATATTATTTTTCTAAAGAAAGTTCCATTTTTCAAGCAAAAGTTTGATGATCATCTAAATTTTTTTTTTGTATCATTGTCACTTATAAATTTACAGGTGATCATATATTGTATTACATTATATTTCTGGAAAATTTAAGGGATAATTATATAATAATTTTGGATGATCTCAGGCGATCAGATACTTATGACTACTACTGTATATAGTATAATTAGAAATAATATTATTATTTAGATAATATGATGTGATAAACCAGTAAGAATGAAAATTTATTAGTGTTTAAAGCTGACATGAAGATTAATAACTTGTTGTAAGTATCTATATTGATATTTCTTTTTGATAAATTGTTATATTGAAATAAGAATAGGATATCTATCATAAATGAAAAATATTTGGAGATAACTATAATGTTATAATGTAGAGCAGAAGATACTATAGTTGCTTTTGCAAGTTTGTTTACTTTATTATTAAAATAGTTATCTGAGTGTATTTTAACTTTAATTAAAGAAATATTAAGGTTATTAGCTGTGATTAGTTCAAAAAGACAAGATCAATATACAAAGTTGTTGATTTTCAAAAAGGGTCTAATAGTTGGAGATTATTTTAAAAGAAAGTTGTATTTGTTAAATTGTGATAATATTAAAATGAATAAATTTATTTTAGATAGTTGCAATACTTAAGATACTAGAATCTTTACTAGTAATTATATATATATTAGAATTACTAGGTAGTTTAATGCTATTATTCAGACCTTTGAGGTTGTGATTAAATATTCTAACTAGAATCTGTCTATTTAATACTGATCTAAGATTTTGCTATTTAGATGATACCTCTAAGGGTGAATCTCTAAAGCTTCTAAACCTTAGAATCACTGTTAAATTTGAATAGAGAGATCACTTTCAGCTATAGATACTTACTTTACTTTTTACTTAAACTTACTAATACTATATCTAGATCACTATTATCTCTGCATAATATTAGAATATTTTTTACACATGATCAGGAAGGTTTAGATATTATCATCCTTATAGAATCTCAGAAAGATAGATAGCTGTTATACCTATATCATCAAATTCATCTGAAAATTAAATTCAGCCTCTAATTCTAGTAATAGTTCAATTGGATAGTACTACAGTAGTGTAATGCAGCCTATTATTATCATAGCCATTTGAAGATAGTATCTAATTTACTAATTACTGGTTAACTACTTCCTTATTTTTTGTAAAAGCCCTAATTTTTAAGACGTAAGATAGTATTCTTTACAGATCTATTAGCGAAGGCCAAGTTTCTGTCAATCTCTAGCTTCATATGTATTCACATATTCTTAAAAACCTAGTATTTAAGTATAATCAATATCAATCAATAGATAAATTGACTAGTTATAAATACATATTAGTATATAAATCCACATATTCAATTATATATGAAATTCTTAAGAAAATTATCTAATTTTATATCTCAACTGAGACCAGAACTTATGATTATTACAGTGTAATTCATAATAAGAGCTCAGTTATTACTAACTTAACTAGAATTGTTAATCCTTTATTAAAATGAATAAATTGCAAATGAATTTTTTATATAAAACTCTACAAATAGAATTTGAAATAATGAACTTGATTAATATTTTATTTAAAAAATAATCAATATAATTTAATATTTATATTATATTATATAATAAAATTTTAAAATAAAAATAACTTATTATTTAATGATAAAATATAAATCCTTTTATTAAAATAAATCAAATAATAAAATAATTATATTTTAAATAAATATAATATTTTATTATTTATTAATATTAAAATATTTATTAAAATAAAAAAATAAATTTTTTTTGATATAGTATAATAATTTTCTTAAAAATATTTATTTCTTAACCAATTATTTTTATTACATAAAATAAATCATATGATTTAAAATTATAAAAATAGATTGCTTTAACATTAAGTTTCAAATTTTGTTTATCATATTATGCAAAAATAGAAATAATCTCAAAGTCCTTTTTTCTTAACAAACCTCTCATATCTGCTGGTAACATGTGAAGTCAATCTTATTGCATCACAAAGATTGATAAATGATCAACACTATTAACATTATTAGCATTTTTAACTTAGTTAACATTTTTATTTTATTTATTTTATTCTTATATTTTATTATTATTATTTATTATATTATTATCATAATTAAATTATAAACTAGAAAATGGGAACTGTTATGAATTTGGAGCGTTTATTACTATAATGAGAAAATTTTTTAATTAATTTTAACAATAAAATGTTTAATAATACTAGTCAACGGTTCAATAGAAATCGTCTAAAACATAATTTTTCAAGAAGATCAAGGATCGCCTTCCCTTCCCATAGCAGTTCTGATCTCTTTCGATAATTACAAAGGTCTTACAATTGCTAGTATAGAGGATGAAAGAGTTGTACCAATTCTACCAATTTAACGTACCTGGAATGGTAAATCCGGAGTTTCTTATTTATGTTTAAAATTTCTGTTCGTCTTGTGTAGACAATTATAGTTCATAAAAGTCAAGGTCTCACGTTACAAAATGCTATAATTGATCTTAGGAATAAAGAATTTGCTGCAGGTCTTTCTTTGTGGCAATCTCATGAGTACGTATACTTGAAGATCTACTTATTAACCATTTAATTTTGAAAGACTTCAGCGTATTAAAGAGTGTAAAAGACTATAAAAATAGTTAGATGAAGAAAAACACTTAGTTTCTATGATACCTGAAAACTAAGAACTCAAAATTCCATTATAATAAAATAAATATAAAATAATTTTTTTTTATTTTTTTTTCTATAATTTCTCTCACTCTCGTAATACTGTATATAATACTTGTAATACTTTATTTTGTTTAACGTCATCTTGTTTATTTATAAATATAGTACAAAATCATGATGTAACGTGTGCGGACAACTGAATATTAGCACATGATTCTATTTGTGATCATTTTTCGTAAACATATATAGTCCTTCGCTATGCTCTGAACAATTATTTTTTATATTTACTTTAACATTATAAAATAGTTTAGTGTTAAATAGTAATTTCTTATAATTGTATTTTTGTATAAATAAGTTAGAAATTGTCCTTGAAAAAAGGTAGAGATAACAGTAACAACCTAATAATTCAAGTTAAAAACTTTGAATTCAAGGTTAAAAATTGCTAAGAATACAAATCTCTACAATAAAAAAATCTCTTTCTAAACTACATATATTAAAAATCCTTTAATGTGTTAATGTGTTTATTGTTATTATAAAGTGTTAAAGTTATTTACTTATCTAAAGTATAAACTTAAGGTTGATTGTGATAGGATTTATTCTATAGTAATTTAGTAGTTTCTTATATATTACTCCTTATTATTAGGTCATTGTTTAACAGACTGAGCATAAGGTTAATATTACCAAATATGACATATTTATCATTTTTATTATTATTATTATTATTATTTTTAATATATATATTATTTATATTATTTTTAACATATCTATCATAATTATTATTTATTTCATATTTAATATAATTAGCATATTTGTTAGCTCTGTTATGATTATCAATAGATTCATTACTATCATAAATTTTCTTTAATTATAATTTTCTTATATAAAGGACATAAAAATGCCTTAGAAAAGAAACAAATTTTAGCATTGTATTCAATATACATTTAATAATAATAATAAATAATATTAATATTTACAATTATAAAACTTGTAATTTTATTCTTATTAACTAAATGAATTTCCTAACTAATATTATATTAATTTAATTAGATCTAAATTATAGCTATTGTCTTTCTAACTTCAAATCATAATTAACTTATTCAACAAACAAATTCATGTTAATATTGCCTCTCTAACAAAATATATGAGCTTTTTTATTTTTTATACCTTATAAACTTATTCTTGGTAGTATCAAGTAAAAATCTGAATAATATTTCTTAGCAACCTCTTGAGATATAAATATTTTAACTTCTAATTTTGATGGTGTAATTGTAATACATTTTCTAATTTATTTTGCTTTAATTTGTAAGCTTTAATATCAATCTTTTTGTTGAGTTTACTATGAAAATAAGTTAGAGTTTATTTAGTATAGCAGATAACTTCTTCAGTATTATTACTAAAGAGATCATAATTAATGATTTCTCATAAATTCTTTAATAACTTTATCAAATAGTAACCTATACCTTAAAAAAAGATACTTTATTTCCTTCTTCTAAAGTCAGATAAGTAATTTTTACATATTAGTTTTTGTAGTTTATGAAATCGCAGTTGTCATATCTATAAATAATGAATTTATTAGTATTTTTAAAGTATTAACAATTTGATTCGTTATTACTAATATATTTAGTCTTTTTATAATTAACCAATAAAAAACTTCAGAAGCATTTGTTTTATCTTTAAATGCTTCAGGTTTTCCTAAAATCAAAATTTATTATGACCTGAAGACTAAAACTTAAAAACAATAATAAATTTAAGATAACTTAATTTTTGTTGGAATTTTGGTTAACTTCTTCATTTTTATCCCTTAAACTGTAAAGGTTCGCAGGCAAATTTGCCTGCTTATTTACTATAAATTCTCTTCTGATTTACTTTTATGAAAAATTAAAATTTTTATAAATTTTTTTTTTAAATTAATTTTATAAATATATATAATAGATCATTGTTATTATTATTATTTAGCATATGCATTGTAAGAATAAAAAACCTGAAAATGGACTAATGAATTTGTGACTTTTATTAGGAGAAGTAACTTTCAGAATGCCTTCATTAGTTTCCGTAGAATTAGCTTGAAAAGTATAAAATGTAGAAATAAGTTTTATAGCATCTTTTTCTTTATTACAATCACAATTACAATTATGATCATCAGAATATTTAAAATAGGTGTTTAATGTGTTAATATATACATGATATTGATCAGTGTCTAAAAGTATTATACATAAATTTATTAATAAAAATATGCTAAAATACGCTAAAATATGATTATAATATATTTCTACACCTGACTGCAATAAACAAATAATCATGATTATTCATCCAAAAATGGATTTATATAAGAAAAAGAAAAAAAAAGTACTACATAACACTATGATGCATAATCTTAGTTATTATCACTGAAATAATCATTATCATTATAATGGTTATCATTATCATCATTATTATAGTAATCATCATTATATAGATTACTATGCATCGATGCTTTATTATTAGACAATAATTATAATTTTCAGAGCTCTGAATAAATTATTTTAATATTAGTAAGTTAATTAGTTTCAAAAATACTAAACGCTTAAATATTTATTACTTTCGCATCTATTAAATTTTCAGTCCAAGATTTGATAATATCTGAATTGATTTTTATCAAAAGGTAATTCTCGTCGAATATAACCTCTAATACTGATTGAGTCCAAATAGCATTTATTTGTATATACTCTTTTTAGAATGTGAAAATAGATTTAATGATTAATATGATGTAAGTATTAGATGATGGATCATCTGGATTGTTCAGCATATACAAATTCTCGTAAACTTTTCTAACACTTTCACTCCCTTTTCACATTCTCATCTACTTCTTGCTAAAACTATCTCTATAAGGCTTTATTCTGTTAATTCCAAAAGTGCTCTATAGACTTTTCTTTAATCTTCTTACATAATACCCTTTCTTTACATGATTTGCATTAAGAAGCTAATATATTAAAAATGTTAATAAATTAATAAAGTTATCAACTGATAAGATTATATTGTATAAAATAAATATTATTTACACTTGAACATAATTTTTCATTCTATAATTGAATGAATGAAATACCTCTATAACGTAACATCTGAGGTTGTTTAGCAGAATCTTTATTATTTCTAACTTATCTTTAAGATGCATTTTTATTTGTATGTCATTTATTTGTTAATATTCATGAAATAGTTCATAAACAAGTTTTTTGATTGCATTTTATAATACAAGTAATTATATAGTACCAAAACAATATAAAGAAATAATATAAATTATATTTATTTGATAAAATTCTTCTGACTTTATCCCTTTATTTTTACTTTTGCCTTTGCTATCTTTCACTTCAACTTCAATCAGAGTATCTAAATTTTTCAATCTTGACATTATTTTCACAATCTGATCCTTTTGTTTATTTATTATAACTTCTAGTTTTTCTTGATGTTCTATCATTAAATTAAGTTTTGATAAGTTACTTTGACCAATTTTAATTAATTTAATCAATTCATGCAAATCATTAGCTGCTAGTAAATTATCATTAACGTTAAATCATTTATAAATAGCAATAAATACTAGTATAGATTTTATCTAACCTTGATTAGACATCGCTTTGAATGCTGTTATCACTTTGGATGCCATTACTATTGATGATACTATTACTTTGAATGCCATTGCTGTTGATAATGCCATCACTTTGGATGCCGTTGCCATTGATACTGGCTTTGAATGCCATTACCTTGAATGCTGTCACAGCTTTAGATGCTATTTTGTCAGATAATATATCTTTACATGTTGTTATTTTAATAACATAAAAAGGAGGAGTTATCACCACTGAAGGAATAATAGGAAATGATAAAGATATTATTAGTAATTCGCTTGTTACCTAATATTAAAACATAAATATATTTAAATAAGAAATAAAATAATAATAATAAATAATATAAAATACAATAAATATTACTTGAGTAACAGTATCTTCATCTTTATTACTAAACAAATTTAACCTCTTAATTTTTGTCTTTTTTGGTATTGAGATTATGTTGATATCTATTAATAATGGTGTATTTTTTAGGCATTTGACTAAATTTAAATAATATAAGAATTTTCATACCAATTTGTTCAGTAATCTAAAAAATAATGTTATTATTATATAAGTAAACTTAAATAATTACTATGATTTATAAACGATACATGATAAAATTAAAATAATAGTTAATTACCTTTTCTTTCACATTCACTGATCTTGTTCTTGAACGCTTCAAAGCATTGAAATTCAGATTAAATTAATTTTATTTTTGTCATCATTTATTGTTAAATTCACATAAAAAAAAATATATGTTGATTATATAGTGGCCCATAAAACAAACGCAAGTTTGATTGGTTACCTTTAAACAGCTATAACTCATCAACCACAAATGCTAGAAACATGATCTTATACTTGTTTTAAAGCCCAAATCTTGAATTATATCCTGGCAAATTTTTTTTTTTTTGAAGTGCGGCAGTTTTGCATAATCTTTATTAAATTTATAAAGTACTAGGTAAATATAATAAAACAGAAAATACAAAAATATCTATAAATTAATTTAGACTAAACTACTTTATCAATACCAACCTTGCACTTTACCGAACTAAACTATAACAGAAGAGAAAAGAAAAGAAAACCTAACTAAACTAAACTATTGTACAGTTATCAAACGTCTGGAAGAAAGGGCGTGATTACTGCCGTTCTAAAAATTTAACCAGTGAGAGCCATAGGCAGTAGCCGCTATGAAAGATGTGAGGTGTGTGGGTGGGAGAATGGAAGAGGAATGTAGGAAACCTGAGGAGACCCAAGGAGTGTTATAATCATCTTCAAAGTTATTTGCAATTTGCCAATCATTAAGTGCAACGTTTCTTTGTAACCATATCTCATAACAAGATGTAGAGATCTCATGATAGAAGGAGGACAAGAAACTATATGATAAATCTTTGGCCGCAAGACAGGCTGTTACTTTGTTTGACAAAGATAATGGTATAATCCCTTTAATTATGTCTAAGAAGCAAAGTTCTGTAGCGATGGGTGATGTATTCCAAATGAGATCTGAAAGTATTTCTTGAACTAGATAATCATCTTTGAGAGTATTTAACTCAGAGAGTTGGGTGATAAATTTGGTCTTGTGTGTGTTAAGTAACTCATTAATATTGGGTTGATTACAAGGATATAGCCACAAGTGCTCAAAGTCTTTAATGTGAGAGTGATAACGGATGCAATTTGCTGAGGTGTATAGTGTAGACATACAGCAGTTAACTACTTTTAAAATAGGAAGAAGTTGAAGTAAAACTCTAATTTTAAATTTCTTTTTGAAACATCCTATAAATGATGTTTTTTAAGATGATTCTTCGTCATTTTAGATCTTGAAAAGTAGAGGCCAATCTATAGGTTTATCACGATATTTGTTGAGGTGAGGTAATGAAAGCAAGGACTCTGCCCATGCTGCTTGTATTTTATTTTTTATGAATAGCCGGTGAGGAGCTATTATTGGATTAGAATTGTAACAAAGGTAATAACCTGGACCTAGATGTTCATTGTTTATTGATATTGGTTGAGCAGGAAGTTGTTTTGCTAGTTTATCAACAATATTATTATAATGATTATCTTTGTGAGCTTGTACTTTGGTGAACAAAACAGAAATGTTGTTTTAAGCAATAAGGCTGAAGAGTATTGACCAAATGTGAAAGTATGGGATTTTGAAAGCAGGATTAATGGATAAGCAGTCTCGAAAGATGAATAACAATTTGTGAAAAGAGGAGATAGTGACTTGGGAATCTATACAGATTTCTATACAGGAATCATGAGGTGATACATATATCGCAGCTAAAATAGCTACAATTTCTGCCAGTGTGGAAGAAGGATTTGGTGATAAAAGCGTAGCATTAAAAGAAAGTGTTGGCCAATTTGGATCAGTTTGTAATCACGTGATACCCAACTGGCAGTTTGAGGAACCTAAAGAGGTAAGAGAACTGTCAGTATAAAATTGAAGAAAAATGGTAGAAGTAAAGTTAGATTTGAGAGTGTTAAGTGATATAATTGAATAACTGTCAAATAGAAGAACGGTTAGGTTTGGCAAAGGCTTTGTTGAGTATTGATAAGGATTATTGAGCTTGGAAAGTGCAACCTCCTGTAGCATGAGGTCAGAAAGGCTGGATCTCTATCCTATGTGTTTGTTGTATTGTATTTTTATCTCTGTGCAAAATTGGAATGGAAGTTTCATGACGCAGAAATTGTGAATATTTGTTCGAACATTAGTAACAATTGCTGTAGGATCGAAGAGGCTACATCTATTGTAAGGATTAATATCTGCTCTAAAATTAGTGTTATATGTAGCTATGTAGTATTATACAAATATTATTTCATTATTGATGGCTTTAACTTTTCCAATAATAGGAGTTAAAAATTGATTAGACCAAATGGTCACAAAAGTGGGGTTATTATTTTCATTTTCTTTCATTTGAATGGGCGATACTGGTAGGTCACAAATGGACAGGTGTGGTGGACAAGTTATTGTCATATTTCTAGAGGAAGTATCAGGCAAAAGTTGGGCTTCTAATCTTTGGAACCAAAATGCACGTGATATATTTGTATTATATAACCAGTTGATATCATAAGAGGTAAAGAGGTGATATCCATCCATTGAGGTAAGTTGATCTATAAATATTATTGAAAGGATCTGAATATTCTTTATAGACTTTCTATATACATTGTTAGGTAAAATAGATGAAATGAGTATAGAGCCACCCATGATTTAAGAGTGTTCAAAGTGTTCATCCAAATATTTACCGAAAGTGAACCCATCTGATTTAGTAGTTGAGAGGAAAGCTGACCACCAGTCTTTGAATTTGGAAGAATTGTCATATGGCCAATTAGTAATTGGTGATAAGTGTAGCCATTCTAAGAGTTGGAGTTGCATAATTCTCAATCTAGCAGTATTCCCTAGTAAGGCAATATCATTTATCATTTTTAATAGATCAGAAGCTTTGGCTACTATTTGTTTGTCATAAAGGTGGGCTAGGTTGTATCCAAAAGTGAAATGTATGATTGCTGCTGGTAGGGACTTGGTTAAATGCAATTTATTCTTGAGAAAGCTCTAAAAGAAGCCATCATCATATTACAGAACGTAGATGGTAAAAAGGTTAATTTAGTTTTATAAATGATTCTAGGAATAATTACTGAGTTAAAAACTGCAACTATTTGTTTTGCTGTGAGCTGTTTTTTGTCCAAAACATTTTTAACTTTTTTAAATTCTGTTGCTACTTGATTTCGAATGAACGTAGTATTGTCAAAAAGTGAAATTCACATTCTAAGGTAGCGGGTGGAATCTTTAGTAGAGAGTGGAGAGAGCCATATATTTTTGTCATTGACTTTAAAGTTGACAGTACTGGAGTCTCTGATGTTTGTCATTAAAACTGATTTTTCCTAATTTAACTTGTATACTATTCAGTGAGTAGAAGGAGTCAGTAATATTCATTATATTTTGGAGATCTGTTCTAAAATCTGCTATCCAGAGTGTATCATCCATGTAAGCGAGTGCTGGAACATGATTTGAAAAGTGATCAGATGACCTTTTAGTTATGTCTTTCCTCCAATTAACACTTTGAGTGTATCCTAATGTTGAGTTTTGAATTTTGCATAATAAAGGATCATAGTAAATACATCATAGAATTAGTGAGATGATTTCTCCTCGATCTATTCCTAACAGAACATAATGAGCATCAGTATCACCGTGTGCTGTAAAAATTTTATTGAAACGAGGAGCAAAGATTAAGATTATAAGGTGGACAAAGGACATAGGAAGGTGTAATCTTAGTAAAGCCTGAATCAACATTCTAAGATTTACTTTGTCATATGCTTTCGACATGTCTTGAAAAAGGATCCAAAGATTATTATGATAGAATGATGCATCATATTTGATGTTATCCAAAATGTTAATAGATTCGAAAGTGCTTCTAAAGGGTAAACCTGCGAAATTGTTACCTTTAAGAATGTTATTCTTAGCTAGTATAGAGAGGAGTCGACTGTTGACTAATTTAATAAAAGCTTTTCTAGAACATTCTAAAAGGGTAATTGGACGAGTATGATTTAGATTATATTCCCATGGTTTAGGTTTAGGAATGGGATATATATAAGCTAAGTTCTATCGACTAGGTGTTAGGTTGTAAATTAAACAACTGCATGCAATTTTTTATAGGCATTTAAAGGCAAAGGGGCCAAGATGTTTGAGCATTTTATTAGATACTTTTGAAGGACCAAAAGCTTTACCATCAGGTAGAGATTTGATGATGCTGGATTATTCTTCTTCAGTAGGGGGTTGCATTAGAGGCTTGTATATGTTAGGATCTAGATTATCTAATGGGCAAATCATCTTCTCATGAATTCAGAATTGTAAGGTTGGAGTATCTTGAGCCAACTACCTGTTGAAAGTGTCGGGCAGTTTCATTTTTTACTTCTACAGGATCTGTAAGGAGCTCTTTTTCTGGGCTACTATTATTGATATATCTATCCAATAAAATAGTGATACGAGGACGATCGAGAAGAGAATCAAATATAGCCGATTGATTTGTAGTAAAATTTTCACATTTTTGCTCAATTGCCTTTTTAATTGATTTATCTTTGTATTCTATTTCTTGTATTTTTGCCGCAGCTATAAGTATTTTCTTTAGAACTTTAAGAGGAAGGGACGTTTCTGATAAAAAATTTAAAGAATATGCAGTTAATCTAGGTAGAGTAATATTATATTCCTG